TAAACAAGTGGGTTTTAAAGAGAAAGGAAGAAGTAAAGAAAGAGGAAGTAAGGGAGGGGGAGGAATGGGTGTTAAATGCCCTCAGGCCTGTCCGGGAACTTTCCTGTAGTTATCTCAAACACTAGCCTAAGGGGTGGGGTGCTTGACTAAATTGGCGGTTTAGCTTGGAGGTCGCCAGGCCTCTTGTAAAGTTGACTTTTATATCTGACGAGAGCTGTCTCCTGACACTCTGCCTCCTGAGTGCTGGAATTAAAGACTTGTACAACCACTGCCTGATTTGAGAACATTTCTCTCTATTTGCAGTAAATTCTGCTGTAGAATAATCCTTCTGTACACTGCGAATATATATTACTTTGGTTGGTTTTATAAAGAAGCTGACAGGCCAATAGCTGAACAGGATAGTGTGAGGTGGAAGAGCCAAACTGAGGATGATGGGAAGGATGGTAGAGTCGAGGGAAATGCCAGCTAGCCAGCCAGCTGCTGGCGAAGCAGGATGTGTAGAAAATAAGCTAACAAGCCATGAGCTAAGTGGCAGAGCATAAATAAGAAATGTGGATTAATTTACATATAAAAGTTAGCTAGTAACAAGCCTGAACTATCAGCATTGGCCAAGCATTTATAATTCATATTCAGCCTCTTGAGTGGGTTGTTTGGGGCTGGGTGGTCAGGACAAGAAACATCTGTTTACAAAATACAATGTGGCTAGCTTTGAAATTCATCTCTTATTTTTAAGCCATGAATCCTGGTTTTGCCTGGGTGGAGGGCTCTTAGGAGTCCCCAGGGAGCTGCTGGCTGCTGGCGTAGACCTGTGTTCCTATTGCTGGTAACACATCAGGTAGGCAGAAACAGCAAAATGGAGAAACCTCTACTACAGGTAAATACTATCTGAAGTCATTCTTAGCATCGGGTTAGTGTAAGCCAAGTGTCTGTTCATATATTCCAAAGGATTTACCTAGCAGTTACAAAAATATTAGGTCATACTGAGGTGGGAAACAAATGGCTATAAAGGGACCTAAGGCTGGCCTGAATGGTTTGGCTTTGAACCTACAACATCCTAACTTTCACATCTGAAGTTTTATTCTACCAGTCAGGTTTTGTAGGTGAAATTTCTTTCTAGGGACTTTCATTTACACGTAATTGTAAAAGCAAAAGTTAACCTGTAGGCCCCACCTGCCCAAAGAGGAGGTAACTTCCTGGAATGCTGGGAGTTGTAGTTTTGGGGAAATAACAAGCCACATGTTTCATGCCCCTAAACAAGTTTGTTTGAACCAACTACCCCAGATGTACTTAATCACATGTAGGCAGGAAATACCTCAAGATGTATGCTTGTCCCTGATTGGACCTGATGGGAAATGCAATGAATTATGGTTTTTTTTGAGACAAGGTTTCTCCGTGTAGCCCTGCCTGTCCTGGATCTAGCTCTGTAGACCAGGCTGGCCTCCAACTCAGTGATCTGCTTGCCTCTGCCTCCTGAGTGCTGGGATTAAAGGTGTGTGTGCCACCACCACAGGTGTGTTTTGCCTTTAAAAGGGTAACTCATGGCTACTAGCTGGGATCCCAGAATGGACCTGACCAGAGTCCATCCTGGTCACTATTTAATTAAAGCTTGCTTCAAATTTGGCTTACAGTTGTGGAACTAGTCTTTCTTGAAACCTGGGATTAACAATAATAGTCTGTTTTTTTGTTTTGTTTTTCCCTCCTAGAAATGTTTTATGTTGAATGGGGAAATGCAGGAGTCTTGAACATAACAGGATTATATTGCCTCTGGTGAGCAAACAATAATTTGGGAAGCTAGGATGCTAGACAATCGATGGCCACCAACCCACGCTGAACTAGTGGCTACCAGGTCTCTTGTCACATGAACTTGAAGAATGAATTTAATAGAAGGGAGTGGCAGATAGGAATGCTACTATAGATGAGAACCCGAGAGATAGGAAGAAAGCAGCTCCCGTGTAGCAGGAGAGTGTTCCAAGAAAGGTATAGTGTAGGAGGCCCTGGGCTCAATCTCCAACACTTCAAATAAATAGATAAATATACAAATAGATGTTTTATAGTCAAAAATTATTAGTCAAAGTAATTCACAGACATATCCTCTTAGTTTTTTCAAAATTCATAAGTGTTAAAAATCAAACTAAGTTTGGCCTGAAGGGGCACGATATACAAGTCCCTGCTTGGTGAGCTGAATCATGAGCTAACAGAAAGAAGATTAACATCTTGTTAGACCCCCGAAAACTCAAGTATCCGGGGTCCCATGCCAGTTTCGCGGTCACCCCAATCACCAGGCAGATTCGAGAGCTTGCTGCAAACTGCACGAGGCTTTATTGCAATTTAATGAGCTAACCCCATGTTAGCTCGGGTCTTTCACCCACCCGCCATGGCGGACAGCTAGCAAAGACGGCTCCTTGGGTCTCCCAAAAGATCTTATAGGGCAGCGTAAGGGGAGTGTCTAGGGGGACGCACAGGCTTACGATTGGTGGGCTTCCAGGCTTGGAGGGCTTGCCCTGGGTTGATTGGTCAACTGGTTGTTATGGCCCATAGGCCCTCCCAGGGTGGTTGCTATGCTCTTACGTCATTGCTGTGCGCTTGTCTGTAAAGCACACCCAGGGTCATAAAGCATAGCGCCACCAGCTAACTTCTGATTGTTTCCTTGTCACGAGGTAGGCATCTGACCTCTAAGTGACCAAGGCAGGTTTATGGCAAGCACGTGTTCGGCTGTTATGGCTGCCAAAAGGGAAGCCGGTTCCTTCAATCTGAAAGTGCAAGTGAACAAAAAAGAAAAATTTTAGTGAGTCCCAATAGCCAAACACCAAAGACAGGTAGCCAACTGTTTAAACTATGTTCAAAAAGGCAACCAAAGATTGCTGTCAGCCTTCTGTGTCCTGTTTCTGTTTCCCATACCTCATTTGCTTTCTGCTTTCCGACCACATGGCAGAATGGAGCTCTTTAGTTTATTGTTTCCCCAAGGATTCTGGTTCTAGAATAAGAATACGAGAAAGCCGATTGAGAAGACAAAGCTGTATCTATAATTTTGTCTTTCAGCAGGAGTACATCCATGAGTAATGAGGTGTTGTGGCTTCTCCAGCTTCAACTTTCTTTGTTCAACTTTCTGTCTCCCCACCGCATGTGGTCCAGTGACTTCCTCAGCAGCGTTGAACAGACAATTCATTATCTCCCTACAGTTTGAAACACCGGCATTATTGAAGATGGATAGAAAGTGGAAAAATGATGGGGTGATGGGAGAGAAATCACGAGAAAAGAGGCTTTGATGTTGCAGATAAGAGACTGGCAAGCTCGAGAAGAAGCCGACTGGAAATGAGCTCCATTAGGAGAGGGCATCCTGACCATGGGGCCATGACTGGCCTTGAAGTGAGAGAGGACACAGGAGCAAGAGGACATCTTGGCAGAGACCACAGAGCATGGCTTTCCTGCTGGGTGCTGTAGTGTAACCTGCAATCCAACATTTGGTGGAGGGGGGTGAGGGGCGGGTGAGGGAAAGGTAGGAGGGGGTGTGGAGGCAGGAGAAACAGGAGTTCAAGGATAGTCTCAGCTATATAGCAAGCTTGAGGTCCATCTGAGTTACATGAGATCCTGTCCTGTGACGATATCTTGATTGTACAAATAAAGCCTGTCTAAAGATCAGAGGATGGAACTTGCCACTAGCTAAACCTAAAGGTTGGAGGTCTGTACAGACAGACAGGAAGTGAGATGTCTGGGCAGAGGGAGGAAATGAGATGGCCGGGGCAGAGAGGATTTGAAGGGACCAGCTTCCCATTTCAGCAGCCATAACAGCCTAACATGTGCTTGTCTGACCTTGCCTTGGTCACTAGGAGGTCAGATGCCTGCCTCATGGCAAGGAACCAATCAGAAGTTAGCTGGTAGTGCTATCCTTTACGGCTCTGTGTGTGCTTTATGGACAAGTGCACAGCAATGACGTGCAGAGCACAGCAATCACCCTGGGAGGGGCTATGGGCCATAACAACCAGTTGACCAATCAACACAGAGCAAGTCCTCCAAGCCTGGAGGCACACCAATCCTGAGCCTCTGTGTCCCCCTAGACACTCCCCTGACACTGCCCTATAAGATCTCTATCCCGTGGCTTCTCAGAATCTTTTCCCAGCCATCTGCCATGGTGGATGGATGAAATGCCCAAGCTAACATGGGGTTAACTCGTTAAACAACTGCAATAAAAGACTCAGTGCTTTTGCATCGAAATGGGCCTCTTGGTGATTTGGGGGTTCAGAATTTGGGCGCAACAGGATTTAAGCAGGAAGAAACAGGAACTCGCTCTCTTTACTCCTGGGAAGCTAATGAATTGAAGGTGGCTTTGGCTTGCTCCTTCTTCTCTCTGATCTCTCAGCATTTTCCTCTATATCTGACTCCACCTTTTTATTATTTAGCCCAATTAAGAACTCCAAATCTGACAGTTTCATTAAGAGAGGTAGCAGAGAGAGCAAGGGAGCGAGAGAGCCAGTGCTGCCACAGATCCAGGACAGGGACAAAGCCTCAGAGAAACTTCACAACAAAGTAGGAATCTGACCTTTTAAATTTTGGGAGGCCTTCCTAATTTAAATTGGAAGTTTCACACCTAACTTGATGCAGGCCCACCAAGGAGCCAGGCACTGCAAAAGACCACACATTTCTCTTTGAGATCGCACGGAATCGATTGTACTGCAAGGCCACTGTACATTGTATGGGGTAGGAGTGGGGTGGGATGGGGGGGGTTGGAGAGAGGGGAGAGCACACAGCAAGCAAGCATACAGCTGTGCGCCCTGATGTCTTCAGGCTGCCAGTGTTGTGCCCAGAATTCGGAACCCCAAAAGAACCCACCAATAAGGAGACGACTCACCGAATGCAAGGACAAAGGTTTCTTTAGGATACGAGCTGCAGCAAGGACCCCATTTGTTTGGGGACAAATGGAGTACCCATTTTTGACTGAGCGGTGTTTTTATAAGGGAAAATTGTAGGGCTGGAAGCCCCAAGATTACATACCTTCCGTAGTTACACAGGACAGGGCAATGGTTGTATGCTTCAGGCAAGGTACAATTAAGCAGGATGCTGCAGAGGAAATGAGTTTGTTAATTATCTCCTGGGCTGGGGACTCCTACAATTGATAACTATCTGATCCTCTTTGGATCAGAGAAATGTGGACACCATTCTAGGGTGTGATATATGGTCTAAGGGCTTGAGTCCAGTGGATCTTTGTTTAACCTTCTCTGCTGGACTGCCTTTTGGGAACTCAGAGTTTTCTTTTCTGGCTTTGGAGTCTGGGTTTTAGACTTTTATTAATTTTCCCCTTTCACCAGATCTGGTGTCTAAGAATGGGCAGCATCTTAAACTCTCAGGCTCCCGATTTAACACATCTGGCTTGCCTGTTCCACTGACAAAGTCAGACAACTTCAGGCACCACTGAGGGGTCCAAAACTGAACACGGAGACAGTATGTTTCCCAAAATACAACTTGTCGAGGGACAGTAAATAAACTACTCACTTAGGACTAAAAGGATGTATAGCTCTAAGTTTTTATCACTCTGTCAGGGTGTCCTGAGTTTCGTGAGTTGATCAAAGAAAGAGGTCACTCCAAGATGAATTTGAGGCCTGTGTGGCAGCAGGAAGGTCCAGCCTCTGATGGACTGAACCTCGAACAGCCGTTCAAAGGTGTATTTATTGATGGTTACACAAAGTTGGTTTTTGGGGTAAAGTATTTCCTCATGCCAAGATCCCTATTCTAATTCATATGTTTGTCTAAAGGAAAACACCACGCCCCCTACCATTTTAGTCCTTTTTGTGTACTGTTTGCAGGGCACAGTGATCCAATAGCTCCCGGTGTGCCAGAAGCTCTTGTGGCCAAAGTCATGCAAAGGCTGTAAAGCTGCTTCAAAAAAGAAAACTTTATAAACCACAGAGAACAATCACTGATTCTCACCATGATTTCTTCAAGCCCAAAACACTTTGGAAAACAACTATTCATTTTAATGTTTACCCTAGATACAGTGAAAACAACTATTCATTTTAATGTTTACCTTAGATACAGTAAAAACAACTATTCATTCTAATGTTTACCCTAGATACAGTGAAAACAACTATTCATTCTAATGTTTACCTTAGATATTGTGACTCTGCTAGATTCCTACAACAGCACTCCCCTCTTTTTCCTAACTCTAACTAGAACCCATAATAAGCCCATCTCATTCTTTGACATTTTACCCTGTAAGCTACACTCTTTGGGCAACATCACTGAAAAGGTTAGAGTTTCTTAGCAACTTTCAGTCATGCATGCTGAAAGCCACCAAAATTCTACATGTTCCCATTGTAAAGACACCTCGTCGTGACTCCGTGAGAAGCCCACGCTGTCTAGGTGTGCTGCGCTCTCTGGAAGCACCTGCTAGTTTATACAGCCAACTTTGCTTCACCCGGCCTCTTCCCGGAACCCTTACCAGCACTGAAGCTCCAGACATTAGGCGGGTCTGAGTGGACTTGTAAGGGGAAGAGATCTCTTCAGGCTGCTGTAGGGGGTGGAGTGGTGCTGTGCCTTTGTCCCTGTCCGCTGGTGACTTCATATGAAGTTTAGGAAGACATTGTTAAGTTAGTGGTAGGTGTCCCCCCCCCCCCAACATTGAGTTTTCTGACAGCGGCTCCACTCAAGCCTCAGAGGAAAAGAGCCATGAGGGGTGATAGCAAAAGAAACCAGCCAATCGACTCACCCACCCACCCAGCTGAGTGAAATCTCCCAGGTGAAGGAAGCAGGAAAGGCTTGCGAAAGTCATCTGGCAACTAGAACAGTCAGTAATGTACTTGTGTGGGGGGGGGGCGGGGGGGGGAGGTTCCCCTTCAAAAACGGCTGTGTGCCACGTGTGTCGGGCCCATAAAGGACAGAAGAGGGCGATAGATCCACCTGGAACTGGCTGTCGTATGGATGCGGGGAATTAAACCTGGGTCCTGAGGAAGAGCAGCTACGCTGAGCCTTCTCTTCAGCCTGGACAAAAACTTTCTTACAAATTCACCTGCCTCTGCAGACACAAAGACATACATCCCTACAGAAATCTTTCAGCATCTAGCCTGGCACAGCAGGAGAGCCCGGCCACTTCACCTGCATTGGCCAGCAGGGGGCGTTCCGTCACCTGGCTCCAGCCACCATGGAAAAATTGGTGGAAAGAGCCGGAGGGATGGAGAGGACTGGAGGGGGGGGGGAGGGCATGGCAGAAGGTAATGGGGATGAACTTGGTCGCAGTGTATCATATGCACATATAAAATTGTTAATTTGTAAAGAGTAATAAAAATGAAATGGAAAAACAAAACAATCCACCTGCACCACCCAAAGAAACTTTCCTCCCTTTTTAAAGTAACCTTTAAAAAATTATTGATTTTTTATTTCATGTGTATGAATATTTTTCCTGCATGTACTTATGCATACCTGGTACCCACATAGGCCAGAAGAGGGCATCAGATCCCCTGGAACTGGAGTTAGAGATGGTTGTGTGCTGCCGCAAGGATGGGCCCTCTGTAACAGTAGTCATGGCTCTTAGTTCCTGAGCCGTCTCTCCAGCCTGGGCTTTTACTTCTTTATTTATTTCTTTATTTTTGCTTTTTTAGCTTTTTCATTAATTTCCTTTTTTTCATTCCAATCCCAGTTCCCCTTCCCTCATCTTCTCCCGCTCCCCCCCCCAATTCCCCCACCTCTCACCTGCTCCACAGAGAGGGTAAGGCCTCACCTAGGAAGTCTACTAAGTCTGTCCCATCATCTCGTTGAGGCAGGACCAAGGCACCTCTCCACCCCATACTGCTGTGTGTAGTCTGGGCAAGGTATCTCTCCATATAGAATGGGCTCCACTAAGTCAGTTCATGCATTAGTGTTAGATCTTGGACCCACTGCCAATGGCCTCATAAATTGTCCCAGCTGCACCATTGTCACTTATATTAAGAGAGTCTAGTTTGGTCTCATGCAGATTCCTGGGCCTTTATTTTTTAAACAGCAGTTTTAGATTCAGAGATAAACTCAGAAGAAAGTGCAAATACAGCCTTCCCCATTATCAACACGCCCTACCAGAGTTGGGTGTTTATTACAACGGAAGAGCCTTTGTTGCCTTTGCCCTTTATGGCAGGGCTCACTCTTGATGTCCCATGTGATTTTGGTAAATGTGCGATGCTGTTAAGTTTTGCATTGTTTGAAATCATCTAACGGCTTTAGAAATCCTCCCCTTTGTTTCCTCACTTCTCCACAAAGTAGCCGACAACCACTAATGTATTTAAGATCACTCTAGTTTTGGCTTTTCCCAGAATGTCACTGAGTTGGAATCATATGGCAGTTTGCTTTCTCAGATGAGCTTTCCTCACTCAGTGATGTGTGCCTGAGATGTCTCTGTGCTTTCTATAACCCGATGACTGATCTTCCATAGCTGATTTCTTCAGACTGTCTCAATTTCTTTGCAAACGTTGACAGTTACAAATAAAGTAGTTTGTGATGACTAATCTTGATTGTCAACTTAATAAGACTGAGGAATACCTTAGAGATTAGAAAAAGATACATCTAGGCTGTCTGTGAGGGCATTTCTAGAGACTCTTAGGTACTGAGGCTCTGGCTGACTGCATGGATTAACCCCTTGATGGATTCATAATCTGGTGGAGAAAAGGAGGAGATGGAGCATTCCTACTGAGGTTGTGTCCTTGGGGGCTATAGCTTTCTGGGTCCCTTCTGGTGTGATCTGCTTCCTATTGAAGGGACCAGCTCCCCATTTCATCAGCCATAACAGCCTAGCACGTGCTTGCCTGACCTTGCCTTGGTCACTAGGAGGTCAGATGCCTGCCTCGTGGCAAGGAACCAATCAGAAGTTAGCTGGTAGTGCTATGCTTTACGGCTCTGGGTGTGCTTTACGGACAAGCGCACAGCAATGACGCACAGAGCATAGCAATCCCCCTGGGAGGGTCTATGAGCCATAACAACCAGTTGACCAATCAACACAGGGCAAGTCCTTAAGCCTGGAGGCACACCAATCCTGAGCCTGTGTGTACCCCTAGACACTCCCCTTACACTGCCCTATAAGATCTCTATGCCGTGGCTTTGCAGCATCTTTCCCAGCCATCTGCCATGGTGGATGGATGAAAGGCCCGAGCTAACATGGGGTTAACTCATTAAACAACTGCAATAAAGCCTCTTGCTGTTTGCATCAAGCTTTTGCCTCCGCATGGTGATTGTGGTGGCCACGGTCCTGGACCGAGATCCTGGGGGCCTGAGCCTCCGGGGGTCTTTCACTGTTGATCATGAAGCCATAGTTACCTCATCTACCTGCTCCTACCACCGTCCTCTACTGACTGTGGGCCAAGAACCAACAAAGACTGTGAACAGAATCTCTGAAATCATGAGCAAAACAACTCTTCCCCCCTTAGAGTGCTTGCGTGGGCAATTTGATCACTCATATACACGGCTGCAAAAGATTTACGTGCAGGTCCTACGCAGATATAAGTCTGTAGACATGCTTTCCACTTACTTTAGTGAACACCAAAGAGAGCCAAGGCTTGATCACAAGGCAAGATGTGCTGATTTCGTGGGACAGCCTTTATTTTGTTTTTGTGGCAGGTCTTGCTATGAGGCTCAGGCTGGTCAGAAATGTGACATCCTCCTGCTCCTGTTTTCCAAGGGCTGGGATTACAGACATGCACCACTACACCCAGCACTTTTCATTCTCATTAACATACAGTAACGTTACCCGCCACTGCTAGGGTATGCTAATGTAACATGTGAGATCAGCATGCACTGATCACAGTGGGAGGGTAGCATTTTCTGGAGCCTTTAAACTTCCCACTTCTAGTTTGGCATATAATACTTTGTAGGTAATACATGCTATAGGACCAGACTCCTGAGATCAGCTGACACTGGCCTGGAAGAGATGACAGTGGACTTTCTGAGATTTTATCTACTTTCTATTAAAAGGTTTCATTACATGGGTGATTTAATGCTAACTTCTGAGTGTCATATATTTGGAAAGACATCTAAAAATAGTAGTAAAAACAACCGAGTTTAAACAAAGGCATCCAGTATAGGCAAAAAAAAAAAAAAATGCCAAAAGGTCATATCGTTTTTAACTGATGATCTCAGTGCTAGGGGTGCGTTAACTCCTTATTAATTGTTGGCCAGAGATGTCCCAGATAACCCTCAAACGATAAAAGCTATTGCCTCTGCCCTTGGTTGTATGCCAGAACTAGATGGTAAGATCTGATTGCTGAAGATGCCGTATGCTTTGGTTATAGGACATGGAGAAAGAAAAAAATGGGACTGAACTAAAAGTTCCTTCCTTCCTGGCTATTCACAGTGCCAGAGATGCTGTCTACGCAGCCTGCTGTAGGAGAATTGCTGCCAGTAGTCCTACTTGGCTGTGGACCCTGTGTGTCACAGCAGAACATAGCAGGTAAGATGTGCCAGCCGGTGCAATAGTGGCAGGGACTGTTAGGGGACCAGCCAATAACTGTTTTAAGAAATAACTTTTTACTTATTCCTTGTGGCTTTTACATCATGCATCCTGATCTTGTTCATCTCCCCATCCTTTTGTATCTGTTGCCCTCTGCCCTTAGAATCTCTGCCACAAAATAAAATAAAATTTAAGAGAAAAAAAAAAGAAAAGAAAAGAAAAGAAAGAAAAAGAACAAACTCACCGTTGAAGCTACAGTGTGACACAATGAGTCACACAGTACACTTTCAGACCATACAGCTTTACTTGCAAGTGTTCATTGTAAAGATTCATTGGTCTGTTTTGAGACTTCTGGTTTCTGCTCTACTATTGATACTGGGACTCTTGGATATCCTGTTGTCGTCCTGTGTCGTGGAGATGCTACAGGTTTGGATCTGTAGGACCTGCCATTTCACATGCTCCAGCAGACTATAGATGGGGTGGATGAACTCATAACCCTGGTTCTAGGCCTGGGTGGTTGCAGAGTTGGTCAGCCTGTCAGCTCTCACCCATCCTCACCACCAGGGTGAGCTCTCCAGGCACTGCCTCAGGCTAGCTCACCCTATGCAGCAAGGAGTAAGGGGCGTGGCTGGCTCACCCATGCTTACACCATCAGGGTCAGCTCTACTGTGCTGCTCTGGCAAGGTGCTGCGGCAGGTGAGGGGCAGGACTAGCTCTCCTGTGCCACCTAGGCGAGGTGCAGGGCCCACTCCCCCAAGTGTTGCCGCTGGGTCAGCACTTGCTGCAGGTGGCTAGGGGCCAGGAGGGTAGGGCATGTTTCCCTCATGCTGGCGGGACCAGCTCCCCCCACTCTCATGCCCTCAGGCCCAGCTCCCCAGCTCTTTTGTGCTGCCTAGGTGAAGTGTATGTAGGACGCGCTCTCCAGAGTCCTGCAGCCAGTGAGGAGTGGTGCCAACTCTGTGCAGCCTTATGCTCTCCACTGACATCAATACAGGCCACACAGCTGCATCAGGGCCATGAACAGAGATTTGGGCCTTGACAGCAGCTCAGGCCCCGACATCACCATGGCCTTGGGTGGGAAGCAGGCCGCTCATCTCATCCTGCTCTTCACCGCCTTAACCTCTTCAGACATGCTAGTCTCCACAGGGCATGAAGCAGTCTGTCTCTCTCTCTGTCCCATAACCCACCATGTATTTGCTCATCATAATAGCGTCCTGGCTGTGCCTGACAGGCTGTTTTCTCCTTGTTGCCTGCAGCAGGCAGCACTGGCTGGTTGTATGAGTCTTTTTCTCCCCTTTAACGGTGCTGTGAAGAGTCGTGTTTCTGGGAACAGCCAATAACTTTATAATTGGACTTCGGGTCCACTCCATAGGAGAGAATTCCTATATACCTGGTGTTGTAAGCCA